GGTGTTCTGACCGGCATGCAGGGCACCTTCACAACGCCCAACTACCCCCAGCAGTACAACAACTACCAGGAGTGCCACTGGACCATTACCGTGCCAACGGGCTACGCTATCGAGCTCACCTTCACCGACTTTAATCTGGAGTTCCATTCTACGTGTGCTTATGATGGTGTGGAGGTATGTAGGAGTGTTGTGTGTGTGTCTTGGGGGGAGGGGGGGTGAGGGGAAAGGGCGATGTAGGGGGAGAGAGAGTGAAGGGGGGTCAGGAAGAGAGAGAGAGTGAAGTACAAAGTACAGCTCACCTTCACCGACTTTAATCTGGAGTTCGATTCTACGTGGGCTTTTGATGGTGTTGAGGTATGTATGTGTGTGTATGGGGGGGAGGGGGGCACAGAGAGAGAGAGAGAGAGAGAGAGAGAGAGAGAGAGAGAGAGAGAGAGAGAGAGAGAGAGAGAGAGAGAGTGTGTATGCGGGGGAGGGAAGTACAGGTCACCTTCACCGACTTTAACCTGGAGTTCGATTCTACGTGCGCTTTTGATGGTGTTTAGGTTTGTTGGAGTGTTTGTGTTTCTATTTAGTTTTAATTTTAGTAAGGTTTTACGGCACTCACAACTGCATAAGGTCATATGAACGCCAAGGGGTAGACGTCAACAGAGAAGTTCAAACGTGGAATAAGGCTTACTCTCCAGCCTCAACAGCACAAAGTCTGCTTCGACTATCAAGGCACCCCGGAAATACCAGTTCACAAGAGAGTTGCAAACATGCAAAAGAATTAGAGGAAAAATTACGATAGTATGGATGAGGAAAGAAAAAGCAGCAGTTCCCCCTGTATTGTTCCGGCACAGTATGAGCATGACATTGATAAATCAGCCCATTAACAATTTTACTGTATATAAGAACATGTTATTATTCCCCCTTTGGGAATGGCCTAAAGACTTTTCAGTCAGTAGCACTGCCCTGTGGGGGGATGTGTTTCTGTGGTGGGGAGGGGAGGGGGATGGAGTCACTTGATTTCAAAAGTAAAATTAGAGAGAAAAAGGCCACCAAAGTTTGGCGACTTCAAAAGCTTAAGCGTCATGGAAACTGTAAATTTACGATTTTTGTGCCTTTATTCAATGTTTTTCAGTAAAAGCCACACAGCAATGTGTTTTTAAATGGACATAAAGTGTTGAGCCCAAAAATAAAAATTCCATAAAAACTACGAAATGGGAAGAAATATGCTGTTTTCTTCGAGTTCATTATTTTGATGAACGCCTGATTTCACCACAATGTTACACATACATATGTATTTATAACTATGTATTAATGTATGTATATTTACCATTGTAACCAACTTTTCTTCACGAGAATGTACAAAAAAATAGCTTATTTGTGAGGCAGCGTGGTGGAATCAGGCTCTCGTCAAAATATTCAAAGTGAAGAAACTTGCATTTTTCCTCTGGTTTGTGAATTTTTATCAAATTTTCGTTTTTGGCTCAACACCTTTCATGCCCATTAAAGAACTCATTTCTGTGTAGATTTTCTAAAAAATGTTGATTAAAGGCACAAAAAATGTAAATTTTCAGTTACCACGAACTCTTAAGCTAAGGAAATAACTAATCTTTGGCACCCATTTTCTCACTAATTTTACCTCTGAAAACAGGTGACCCCCACCTCCTTCATTCGCAAATATCTCGACGTGTATTCAAGATAAATGGATATTTTTTTCATCCAAATAAACACAAGTGAACAAGCTTAAAGATGATACCAATAACTCTACATGCCCCAAAATTGACGAGAGCTTGATTCCACCATGCTGCCTCATATTTATTATTTTATTTCTTTGTGCAAGGTTTTCGCAGGAATCGACAGCCAGGGCCCACGTCTGACCCAACTGTGTCACACAACGATCACGAACCAGACCATGCGCTCCACCGGAAACAACATGTTTGTCAAGTTCCGCACGGATATGTCCGTGACTGGTACCGGATTCTCTGCAAATTACAGGGCTATTGAGGGCGGTGAGTGTGTGTCTATTTGTTTGTCTCTAAGTGTGTATTTCTGAGTAGGCCTATATACCGGTATGTTTGTCAGTGTGTCTCTCTGTCTGTTTGCAAAGTTTCGTACGGATATGTCTGTGACTTGCACTGGATTCTCTCATGCTACTTACAGGGATGTATCTTATCTTATCTTGTCTTGTCTTGTCTTTTTTATTACCTTATCCTATCTTCTCCTATCCTATCTTATTCTATCTTATCCTATCCCACCTGATCCTATCTTATCTATCTTTTCTCACTTTATCTTATCTTATCATTATCTTGTCTTATCTTATCTTATCTCAGCTTATTGTCTAGTCTTATCTCATCTTATTGTCTAACCTTATCTCATCTTATTGTCTAATCTTATCTCATCTTATTGTCTAACCTTATCTCATCTTATTGTCTAACCTTATCTCATCCTATTGTCTAATCTTATCTCATCTTATTGTCTAATCTTATCTCATCTTATTGTCTAATCTTATCTCATCTTATTTCATCTCATCTTATTGTCTAATCTTATCTCATCTTATTTCATCTCATCTTATTGTCTAACCTTATCTCATCATATTGTCTAATTTTATCTCATCTTATTTCATCTCATCTTATTTTATGTTTGTCCTTCTGTCCTATTCTCCCAGGTTGTGGCGGTAACTTCTCGGTGCCCTCAGCGGTCATCCAGTCGGCTAACTACCCCGACAACTACCCTCACAACACAGAGTGTGAGTGGTACATAACAGTGGCCGAGGGCCATGTGGTCAACCTCACTTTCACAGACTTTGAGCTGGAGGATGGGAGCTGTCAGTTTGATTATGTTAATGTGAGTAAGGGGGGAGATTTGATTATGTTAATAAGGGGGAGATTTTGATTATGATAATGTGAGTAAAGGGGGAGATTTGATTATGTTAATGTGAGTAAAGGGGGAGATTTGATTATGTTAATGTGAGTAAAGGGGGAGATTTGATTATGTTAATGTGAGTAAGAGGGGAGGGGGGGAAGAGAGAGGGGAGGGGGAGAGAGGGGGAGGAGAGAGTTGGAAAGAGAGAGAGAGAGGTGAAGGGTGGAAGCTCTCTGTTAGATTACGTCAGTGTAAGTGAGGGAGAAGTGGGGGAGAGAGAGAGAAAGAGGTGGAGGGAGACAGTTGTCTGTTAGATCCTGTCAACATAATATTAAGTTGGGTGTGTGTGTGTGTGTGTGTTTGTGTGTGTGTATGTGCACGTGCATGAGTGAGATAGAGAAAGAGAGAGAGCAAAGTAAAACCACTGTTCCCCCTCCCCCTCCTCATTGTTGTTTCAGCTCTACGACGGACACACGACAAACAACACTCTGCTGGTCTCACTATGCGACATCTCCTTGCCCTCCCCACCCTCCTACATCTCCAACAATAACCGAATGCTTGTGAGGATGCGAACTGACTCCTCTGTGAGTCACAAGGGATTCTCTGCCATCTACACCACCAGTATGCTACCTTGTTTGTTACGGAGTATTGTAGTTTAACAGTCCTGTTGTTGATTTCTTTTTTATTTATTTTTTATTTTAGTTTAGTTCATATGATGTGGAAGAAGTGGAAAACAAAGAAGAAGAAGAAGAAGAAGAAGAAGAAGAAGAAGAAGAAGAAGAAGAAGAAGAAGAAGAAGAGGAAGAGGAAGAGGAAGAAGAAGAA